GCACTCGGCGCACTCAGCGCGCACTGCCGCGCCACGCACTGTCGCATGTGTCCCACTAGTAGCACACAAGGTAACTACACTGCGCGCCACCTCCGCCGCACTCGGCGCACTCAGCGCGCACTGCCGCGCCACGCACTGTCGCATGTGTCCCACTAGTAGCACACAAGGTAACTACACTGCGCGCCACCTCCGCCGCACTCGGCGCACTCAGCGCGCACTGCCGCGCCACGCACTGTCGCATGTGTCCCACTAGTAGCACACAAGGTAACTACACTGCGCGCCACCTCCGCCGCACTCGGCGCACTCAGCGCGCACTGCCGCGCCACGCACTGTCGCATGTGTCCCACTAGTAGCACACAAGGTAACTACACTGCGCGCCACCTCCGCCGCACTCGGCGCACTCAGCGCGCACTGCCGCGCCACGCACTGTCGCATGTGTCCCACTAGTAGCACACAAGGTAACTACACTGCGCGCCACCTCCGCCGCACTCGGCGCACTCAGCGCGCACTGCCGCGCCACGCACTGTCGCATGTGTCCCACTAGTAGCACACAAGGTAACTACACTGCGCGCCACCTCCGCCGCACTCGGCGCACTCAGCGCGCACTGCCGCGCCACGCACTGTCGCATGTGTCCCACTAGTAGCACACAAGGTAACTACACTGCGCGCCACCTCCGCCGCACTCGGCGCACTCAGCGCGCACTGCCGCGCCACGCACTGTCGCATGTGTCCCACTAGTAGCACACAAGGTAACTACACTGCGCGCCACCTCCGCCGCACTCGGCGCACTCAGCGCGCACTGCCGCGCCACGCACTGTCGCATGTGTCCCACTAGTAGCACACAAGGTAACTACACTGCGCGCCACCTCCGCCGCACTCGGCGCACTCAGCGCGCACTGCCGCGCCACGCACTGTCGCATGTGTCCCACTAGTAGCACACAAGGTAACTACACTGCGCGCCACCTCCGCCGCACTCGGCGCACTCAGCGCGCACTGCCGCGCCACGCACTGTCGCATGTGTCCCACTAGTAGCACACAAGGTAACTACACTGCGCGCCACCTCCGCCGCACTCGGCGCACTCAGCGCGCACTGCCGCGCCACGCACTGTCGCATGTGTCCCACTAGTAGCACACAAGGTAACTACACTGCGCGCCACCTCCGCCGCACTCGGCGCACTCAGCGCGCACTGCCGCGCCACGCACTGTCGCATGTGTCCCACTAGTAGCACACAAGGTAACTACACTGCGCGCCACCTCCGCCGCACTCGGCGCACTCAGCGCGCACTGCCGCGCCACGCACTGTCGCATGTGTCCCACTAGTAGCACACAAGGTAACTACACTGCGCGCCACCTCCGCCGCACTCGGCGCACTCAGCGCGCACTGCCGCGCCACGCACTGTCGCATGTGTCCCACTAGTAGCACACAAGGTAACTACACTGCGCGCCACCTCCGCCGCACTCGGCGCACTCAGCGCGCACTGCCGCGCCACGCACTGTCGCATGTGTCCCACTAGTAGCACACAAGGTAACTACACTGCGCGCCACCTCCGCCGCACTCGGCGCACTCAGCGCGCACTGCCGCGCCACGCACTGTCGCATGTGTCCCACTAGTAGCACACAAGGTAACTACACTGCGCGCCACCTCCGCCGCACTCGGCGCACTCAGCGCGCACTGCCGCGCCACGCACTGTCGCATGTGTCCCACTAGTAGCACACAAGGTAACTACACTGCGCGCCACCTCCGCCGCACTCGGCGCACTCAGCGCGCACTGCCGCGCCACGCACTGTCGCATGTGTCCCACTAGTAGCACACAAGGTAACTACACTGCGCGCCACCTCCGCCGCACTCGGCGCACTCAGCGCGCACTGCCGCGCCACGCACTGTCGCATGTGTCCCACTAGTAGCACACAAGGTAACTACACTGCGCGCCACCTCCGCCGCACTCGGCGCACTCAGCGCGCACTGCCGCGCCACGCACTGTCGCATGTGTCCCACTAGTAGCACACAAGGTAACTACACTGCGCGCCACCTCCGCCGCACTCGGCGCACTCAGCGCGCACTGCCGCGCCACGCACTGTCGCATGTGTCCCACTAGTAGCACACAAGGTAACTACACTGCGCGCCACCTCCGCCGCACTCGGCGCACTCAGCGCGCACTGCCGCGCCACGCACTGTCGCATGTGTCCCACTAGTAGCACACAAGGTAACTACACTGCGCGCCACCTCCGCCGCACTCGGCGCACTCAGCGCGCACTGCCGCGCCACGCACTGTCGCATGTGTCCCACTAGTAGCACACAAGGTAACTACACTGCGCGCCACCTCCGCCGCACTCGGCGCACTCAGCGCGCACTGCCGCGCCACGCACTGTCGCATGTGTCCCACTAGTAGCACACAAGCAAGGTAACTACACTGCGCGCCACCTCCGCCGCACTCGGCGCACTCAGCGCGCACTGCCGCGCCACGCACTGTCGCATGTGTCCCACTAGTAGCACACAAGGTAACTACACTGCGCGCCACCTCCGCCGCACTCGGCGCACTCAGCGCGCACTGCCGCGCCACGCACTGTCGCATGTGTCCCACTAGTAGCACACAAGGTAACTACACTGCGCGCCACCTCCGCCGCACTCGGCGCACTCAGCGCGCACTGCCGCGCCACGCACTGTCGCATGTGTCCCACTAGTAGCACACAAGGTAACTACACTGCGCGCCACCTCCGCCGCACTCGGCGCACTCAGCGCGCACTGCCGCGCCACGCACTGTCGCATGTGTCCCACTAGTAGCACACAAGGTAACTACACTGCGCGCCACCTCCGCCGCACTCGGCGCACTCAGCGCGCACTGCCGCGCCACGCACTGTCGCATGTGTCCCACTAGTAGCACACAAGGTAACTACACTGCGCGCCACCTCCGCCGCACTCGGCGCACTCAGCGCGCACTGCCGCGCCACGCACTGTCGCATGTGTCCCACTAGTAGCACACAAGGTAACTACACTGCGCGCCACCTCCGCCGCACTCGGCGCACTCAGCGCGCACTGCCGCGCCACGCACTGTCGCATGTGTCCCACTAGTAGCACACAAGGTAACTACACTGCGCGCCACCTCCGCCGCACTCGGCGCACTCAGCGCGCACTGCCGCGCCACGCACTGTCGCATGTGTCCCACTAGTAGCACACAAGGTAACTACACTGCGCGCCACCTCCGCCGCACTCGGCGCACTCAGCGCGCACTGCCGCGCCACGCACTGTCGCATGTGTCCCACTAGTAGCACACAAGGTAACTACACTGCGCGCCACCTCCGCCGCACTCGGCGCACTCAGCGCGCACTGCCGCGCCACGCACTGTCGCATGTGTCCCACTAGTAGCACACAAGGTAACTACACTGCGCGCCACCTCCGCCGCACTCGGCGCACTCAGCGCGCACTGCCGCGCCACGCACTGTCGCATGTGTCCCACTAGTAGCACACAAGGTAACTACACTGCGCGCCACCTCCGCCGCACTCGGCGCACTCAGCGCGCACTGCCGCGCCACGCACTGTCGCATGTGTCCCACTAGTAGCACACAAGCAAGGTAACTACACTGCGCGCCACCTCCGCCGCACTCGGCGCACTCAGCGCGCACTGCCGCGCCACGCACTGTCGCATGTGTCCCACTAGTAGCACACAAGGTAACTACACTGCGCGCCACCTCCGCCGCACTCGGCGCACTCAGCGCGCACTGCCGCGCCACGCACTGTCGCATGTGTCCCACTAGTAGCACACAAGGTAACTACACTGCGCGCCACCTCCGCCGCACTCGGCGCACTCAGCGCGCACTGCCGCGCCACGCACTGTCGCATGTGTCCCACTAGTAGCACACAAGGTAACTACACTGCGCGCCACCTCCGCCGCACTCGGCGCACTCAGCGCGCACTGCCGCGCCACGCACTGTCGCATGTGTCCCACTAGTAGCACACAAGGTAACTACACTGCGCGCCACCTCCGCCGCACTCGGCGCACTCAGCGCGCACTGCCGCGCCACGCACTGTCGCATGTGTCCCACTAGTAGCACACAAGGTAACTACACTGCGCGCCACCTCCGCCGCACTCGGCGCACTCAGCGCGCACTGCCGCGCCACGCACTGTCGCATGTGTCCCACTAGTAGCACACAAGGTAACTACACTGCGCGCCACCTCCGCCGCACTCGGCGCACTCAGCGCGCACTGCCGCGCCACGCACTGTCGCATGTGTCCCACTAGTAGCACACAAGGTAACTACACTGCGCGCCACCTCCGCCGCACTCGGCGCACTCAGCGCGCACTGCCGCGCCACGCACTGTCGCATGTGTCCCACTAGTAGCACACAAGGTAACTACACTGCGCGCCACCTCCGCCGCACTCGGCGCACTCAGCGCGCACTGCCGCGCCACGCACTGTCGCATGTGTCCCACTAGTAGCACACAAGGTAACTACACTGCGCGCCACCTCCGCCGCACTCGGCGCACTCAGCGCGCACTGCCGCGCCACGCACTGTCGCATGTGTCCCACTAGTAGCACACAAGGTAACTACACTGCGCGCCACCTCCGCCGCACTCGGCGCACTCAGCGCGCACTGCCGCGCCACGCACTGTCGCATGTGTCCCACTAGTAGCACACAAGGTAACTACACTGCGCGCCACCTCCGCCGCACTCGGCGCACTCAGCGCGCACTGCCGCGCCACGCACTGTCGCATGTGTCCCACTAGTAGCACACAAGGTAACTACACTGCGCGCCACCTCCGCCGCACTCGGCGCACTCAGCGCGCACTGCCGCGCCACGCACTGTCGCATGTGTCCCACTAGTAGCACACAAGGTAACTACACTGCGCGCCACCTCCGCCGCACTCGGCGCACTCAGCGCGCACTGCCGCGCCACGCACTGTCGCATGTGTCCCACTAGTAGCACACAAGGTAACTACACTGCGCGCCACCTCCGCCGCACTCGGCGCACTCAGCGCGCACTGCCGCGCCACGCACTGTCGCATGTGTCCCACTAGTAGCACACAAGGTAACTACACTGCGCGCCACCTCCGCCGCGCAGTATTGAATTGATTAAACCGGAAAGCTTATTATTTTTATGTTCTAAAATAACCCTGCTGCTATAAGCAGCCTCGCAATATAACGTAATGCTTTTCAACGAAACGGTTTTTAATTTTTTTTTTTTTTTTCTTCTCAGGAGTATCGAGAGCTCAGAGGTGGCTGGCTGATGACGACATAGTACGCTTCCTACAGTCACTGAACAACTGGACCGCAGTCATGCACCCAGACGCCAAGCTCAGCGCCGAAGTAAGTTTCTAATATTTTATTTTATTCACACGGTTAGGACAGAGCCTGACAAAAATAAGTCAAACGATCAAATGATGCAGTAACAAAAATCGATTAGTTTTCAAAGAATGTTGAGAAATTGAATTGAAAGTAGCATTATTAGATTAGCCAAACAGCTAGGTATATATACGTGTATAAAAGATGCCCTAAAACATAAAGCATAATGCCAAATAAAGTAAAAATAAACTCAAAAAAATCTGTTCTTTCAACCGTTTGGACGACCTGATAAATAAATGTGACAGAAACCAAAGGTCTAAGAATAAAAGTTTTAGTGTATGTATGTTGGTAACAAAAATGTTTAAAATTTTTGCCAGATTTTGCTTATAGGTACAAAGTCAAATTTTTAAGACAGATGTTCAGTTTACCTGACTAAATTTTCTTACCAGGACTTAAAGCAAGCATACGAACGCGAAGCAGAGATCTTAGGCTCGAGTCTCGGTGACGGGGCCGTCACTCGCAAGGAAATCATACCTGATATCAACGCACTCGCTGACTTGGCCGTTTTATGCGAAACTATGGTGAGTGAATGTATTTGTTTTCTTTTGTATTTTCCATTTAAATCCGGTGTTATTAAAATTTTTGAACAGTACATTTCTTTATACTTCTAATTAAAAAGATTTTTTTATTTAATACGCAAACGGGTAATCAATAAGTGTCGCCCATGAACACCCCAACAACAGAGGAGTTATGAGTGCATTGTGTTGGGAACTTTGGAGATTTAGCGATTGGGGAGGGGAAAGTTTGAGCTTCCGGTAATCTCACAACAACAACGCAATGGTAGTTTCACGCCGGTTTTCTGTAAGGCCGTGGTATTACTACGGTCTAGCCGACCCATTAGTGCCGAAGCATAGCTCTCTGTAGGAAATAAACTTATTCAAAGTTTCACAATACGTTTTCTTAGGACTGGTTGAGCGCCAATATCAGAAGTCTGCCATCCATGTTGGGCGGACCAGGAGGACTCAACAAGCTTCCCGAAAAGTTCTTGAATGATATTTCTACCAACGCCAAGCTGTTGGACGATATCTCACATAAGTGCTTGCTTTTCTTACATTTGGAGGTAAGTGACTGTTTCGTAAATTATAATGTATAAAGTATTTATTGATTTTGTTAATTCGAAAACATATTTATATGTGGACTCTACTGGAGCTTAGTGTCTAGGGTTATACCTAAAAACCTTCATCTACAGAACTCAACATCTCGTCTTCTATACGCAAACTGATTTTTACCTGTCTATAATTAGCTGTTGTAAATTTCGTAATAAGTTATTAGCACTAAAGTAATGTATGATTTCTTTAAGACTACATTGTCTTTACATTTTGCATAACTGATTGTCGCCGTCTGAGTTCGAATAATACTAATGATAGTGAAGTATTGTCAGCAAACAGCAATATGTTATGTAAGTCATTTACAGAAATTAAAATAATAACGGACCGAGAATCGTACCCTGTGGAACACCCATCCTAACAACAGACCTGGCAGAAATTATTCTGTGTTCTTAAATTTTCTTTCAACTTTGTTACTCAAGTATGTATGAGGTAAGAATATCCAAAAAAGCACCAATTATTCCGTTATAGGATAGCTTCCTGATTAATGTATCATGAAGAATACAGTCTAAAGCCTTGGATAAATCACAAAATATTCTCAAAGTGTTGCTTGAGTCCTCCCACGCGTAATACGTGTAATTAAGGAATTGGTAAAACCAAACTGTAGTATTGTATTTAAAAATAAGCAATGTACAAGATATATTGGTAGGTACATTATGGTAATAGTACATTATGGTTAATGTTGGTAATTACCGCCCTAGGCTCTTTAAGATCCACGCCTGTTTAGTGATGAAATGATAAATTTCACTGTCGATATGATAGTTTTTTTTAGAAATTATTAATTAGACTATTTGACTCAAAGATGAAGACGTCACAAGTATTTAAACTCAAACGAAGTATATAGAAAAATATCGCGTTTGATAAATCGATAAAATAATACAATTTGTTTTATTCTTAAATACCGTAATAGTGTTTTGTAGTTTGTAGTTAACCCAAATATGAACTCGGATACGAATAAAAAAAAATGAGTTTCACATGTCTCTGTTAAAATACCTTTCTGTTTCTGTTAAAATTATTTCTGATTTCTTTCGATAAGTACTTATTTATAATGTGTGTCGTAGCTACGCATCGAGTGCTTCCACTACCTGGGGCAGGAGGAGCGCGAGGAGGGCGCGGAGGGCGCGGAGGGGGCGGGCGCGGGCGGCGCGGCGCAGCTGGCGGGCGCGCTGCTGGCCTTCCACGAGCTGGCCGGCGCCGCGCTGGCGCCGCGCCGCGCCGCCTACGTGCTGGGCGGGCTCGGCGACATGATGTCGGCCGCCGTCGTGTGGCGCTGGCAGGGCGCGCCGGGCGGCGCGGGCGCCGGCGCCGCGCGCCTCGCCACGCTGCGACACTGTCTCGCCGCGCTCGGCCTGCCGCACTCCGGCCTGCATCGCGCCCATACCTACCTGCATTTGCTCTCCTGCACGCCCGAAGTATAAAACATTTTTTTGTATGTGATTATATCGGCAAACTAGCAAACGGATCACCTTATGGTAAGCAATCTGCGTCGCCCATGGACACCCGCAACGACAGAGGAGTTACAAGTGCGTTGTCGACCTTTTGGGGATTAGGGATTTGGAGATTTTACGAAAGAGAACGGATTGGAGTAGGAGAAGGATTGGGCCTCCGATAACCTCTCTGAAGCATGGCTCTCCCACACTTAAACAACACACTTGTTTCTATTATTTTCTATCTCTTCATGAAATTAGGCCACCTACCAAACCGATTAATGATCATGAATCGTACCCATGTTACAATAAATAAAACGACAATATTTTAAACTTTTACGTGTCTACATTTGTCTTTACCATTTTTTTTTTGTATTAAAATTTGAAACTTCTGGGCTCCCGCATATTGTCTCTTTAATTATAATAAAAATACCACATTCTAATTTCCCAAATTGTCGACAGGAAATAATAACTTCAGTCCGGGAGAAAGGCGCCCAGTTCACGGAACTAGAATACCTAAATGCATTCAAAGTGATCGAAGCTCGCCGCGGCATATCGCCCGCTGACATGAAGATGCATCTGAAACAACTTTCCGCTGCTTTGGGACATGTTGGAGTTACTGTATAGACTAGAATAGAAAATATAATTATATTGAATTATAAAATATACCACTTATTAAAAAAATGCAGCATATTAAGGCCCGTGGCAAAATTCAATAAATATGCACTGTTCAACATATATGCTTAGTGTGCCTTAGCAATATTAATCTTAAGTATTTATTATTTTTTATTTAAAAGACATTTTTTATTTACTGAAAATTATAAAATTATTAGGTATTATCATAATCAAGTATTAATTACTATTCCTTTTTACTTATTATTTGCAATAAAAATAATTATAAAACATGTTTATTATCTTTTTTACTTCCTCACAAACCAAAAACTGTTCCAAACAACTACATTGATCAAGATTACGTGAAAGCCTAACTAGAAAATGCTCTAGTAAAACTTTCCAACTTGGTTTATCTTGGTTAACCAGCTAATACGCAACGGTGGCGGATCGGTTCAATTACGAAACAAATTATTATTTGTATGATTCACAAATACTTGAACCAGGGCAAGGAATTTAAAAAGTGTACGGGAAAACCGGTTGTATATTTATATGCTTCATCATTATCTGCCTGACCTTCATCCATCAACTAAAAACCCGCTCGAGAAACACGACTTTGATTTGATCTGCAGTTTTTTTCAACAACAGGCACGTATTGTCATTAAGCTGATTGAAGCGGTATACAAGTGGTATACATAAAAAAAACTGGTTAAATCAAGTAATGAATTACTATTGACAATTTATTGCACGTACCGACATTAATCTGGAGTAACATGACGAAAGTAAGATGGATGGACAAGTTATTTATCATTACACGACGATAAGAGTTATGTGAGTAGGTAAGTGAACGACTCCCATGTTATCTCAGACCGGTTGAACTCTTTGGCACTGCTCAGGGATCTAGCCTCGCTACGTATTTTCTATCGCTTATATCACGAAGAGTGTTCAGAAAAATTGTTAAAATTTTCTGCATAGGTTAATTTAAAAACCGTCGCGTTCTGTGCCAACCTATAGGTGGCTATTAAAAAAAAAACTAATGTTATGTTTTATTATATGTCTTGGCTTAAAAGACTTGTATCCAGGCCACACACTCCAAAAAAAATTCTATGTCAATGTCAAAAAAGAGAACAAAATGGCGGGAATTGTTTTTGTTTGAGTTGTTTTTGTTCTTGTTTGAGTTGTTTTTGTGATCTCTTAATTTTGACCTATATTTTGTGCATAATTCGGAAAAACCGCATAACACATTACGATGGCAGATAACGATTTAGCCGACTTAAGGAAACAGTGCATAACTAGTCTTTATTTGTGTACCGATAATGTCTCAAAATATTTAGATAGCGAAAAAGAAGCTGAGTTTGATAAACTAAAGTTGTGTGTCCAGCAGTATTGCACTTTAGAAGCCCAGCAAGATGTTACCATTGAAGCTATGGAGAGAGCGAAGGTAAGAATTGAGTATTAGTTTTAGGTCATAACCTAAAAACTTGTAATTTTAATAAAAAACAATTTTTATTGTACACATTATATTTGACCTTACTAGAAGCCTTGTCCAACATTTCCAACCAAGACTTTACTGTATACACATTACAATACACCCATATTGTAATTATTAAATAGTAATAGTAGTAATAGATTGTTAAAGATTTATGTCTGATGACTCAACCTTTCAGTCTATAAGAAACACTTTCAAACTTTATCAATATGCTAAATTATTATTGATAAACATACTTGGCGCCTGATATTGATATTGAGAGTTTGCAATCATACTTTAAAAACAAAACTTAATGGATATTTTATAACAATTGTTGTTACTGCAGCATAAATTAGCTATCACTGTATTATAAATAGTAGGCTTTCGTTTACCTTCATTGTTGTGTGTACAGTTAAAATACTAACATGTTGTCTAATTTATCAAACCTATTGTCCCAAATAACAACTGGAAGGTTGAACTGAACCTTACAATGTTACAAGGATACTTAAAAAACATTACAAGCAAGATATGACCTTGACACAGCCTTGTTAATGTATTCTTTGTAATTACAGAGAGAAACTGATACTTCTAATGTGAATTCTCTGGAAGAGAGGTTCCAAGCACACCTGAGTAATTTAGCGAGCAAGCGGCTCAGGATTGATAATCATCCTTATATGACAGAATTCAACAAGAGATACCATAAAGGATTGGAGAATGCAGCCCGTAAGACATTAGTTTTTTATGAACTAGGAGGTATAATATGAGTAATCAGATATCCTGAAGGTAAATGATCACTGTCCATGGACACCCACAACACCAGAGTCGCCTGTGACTCTTTGGTTTTTTAGCATTGCCAACCTTCAAGAAAAAAGTGTATCCCCGGAACTAGCAAACTCATATCTTGAATGTTTGGGGTTTTACAGGTTTGAGAATACCAACATCAAGATCATTCTAAAGTTTTGCTGTGTTAGGCAGAAAGTTTCATGTTCTTTTGTTGCTTTGATAATTGGAATGAAAAGTTTTAAAGAAATATCCTTTTATCTATGCTGTCTCCTTTTCAGAGATTTAAATTAATTTGTGACATAATTTCCTTCACAGGTAACTTAGATGAGTCAGATCTGGCTATAACTGAATCACAGGAGCAATATGTAAGTACATAATAATATGAGTTAAAAAACTTGCAATTTATATGTGTTTGTGAAGTAGACTCTTGCAACTTAAATGTTGTATACATGTTACATTTGCACGACCATAACAGCTTATCTGCACTGTTGATGCGGTGGCTAGGCAACTTTGATAGAAGATTTTTATAATAAAAGTTCATTTTGTTGCAGTTGGATCCTATTACAAAGAGGCCAGTTACAGATCCAGTAAAGAATACAGTTTGTGGACACATCTATGAAAAAGCTACAATTTTGAATTTAATTTCCACAAAACCTAGATCCAAATGTCCAGGTAAACAAATACAAATGAATTTACGTAGTGCACTGCTAGTAGTGCAACTATAAATACATAATTACACACATGTATATTATCACTCCTGTCTTCCTTTGGATGTAAATAGAAAGGATTTGACCTCAGATATAAATATGGCAAAATTTGAAAAGTTTTTTTGTTCTAAATTGTCTCTTTTAAATTGTGGTGATTAGAGACACGATAGGTGCGCAAACGGTATTTGCTTTGGGTTTTGATGAATTAAGTCGGTTTACAGACGATAGTTTGAGTGACAATCTCAAACAGTACAGTATCACGAACCAAACTAAGCCGATCCTGCCTCTCCGTTTGCGGAACGCGACAACGAGCGTAACGCGACGATATGGCGTCATCTTTTCCGTGCATGCAGCCCGTAGTATGGAGTTGTTATGTCACATCAAAAATTGTTAAACCTTTGTTCAATCTCCTATAAACACCATATTCTTCATTTACAATACATCATTTACTCTATTCTATAATACATGTTATCATATTAAATGTTAGACCGCGTTTGGCAGCACGGAATCGCATTTGTTCCGCCTGTGCTACCACGTCCTGTGCTACGAACACACAAAAAGGCGCGTGCTATCGCATTATGCTTTCTGTCTCGGTCTCGCAAATGGCAGTTCTAAGCGACAGAAAGAGAGGGCGACGGAAAAAGGCGACTCCGTGCTGCAAGATGAGGTCTAACCCTTATAATTACGTCTGTTCTCCTCTAACAAAACTTTCTCCTTACAGTGGCTGGCTGTGGCAACCGAGGGCCCATAACAAAGGACCACTTAATATCTGACGAAGAACTCAAGTTCCGTATGACCATCACCAAGCATTCCACCATGGTACAAGAAAGATCGATCATGGACTTAGATGAAACTATGTAATACAACCTCCTTGCTATGAGTGTACTGTAGATTGGACTAAAAACATTATGTAAGATGCTAGCAAATTGACGAAATTCTTTCAACATTGTTACACTGGACTTAGCTGGAGAAGTTTGATGTACAGGTGACGACAGTTCACGCAAAACCCACATTATCAACGTGTGACAAGGCTTAGCTAGTGTGTAAGGATATTTAATATTTTGTTAATAATAAATATTCAATTTAAATTTACTGTTTTCTTAATTTTACGATGTCCTCAAAAAAGGGAAATAATATATGGAAATAAAACACTGTATACATGTAGAATATAATGTATTTTAGCGAAAGTCTATTAATATCTAAATCTATATAATGCGTTTTGTTATTCAATATTTTTATCGTCAAGATTAGTTTCACTCTAAACTCAACATCTGGTACTATTTGAGAATAATAAATGAACTGTAAATAATACAGAATTACACAATCAAAACAAAAAAAAATGTTTTATTTTAAACAAACTTGTTATTCATAAAAAAGAAAACTGGCTCCCAATCTTGATGACAACATATTGAAGATAATAATTTATAAATATTGGTCCATAAAACTATATCAATAAAAGTGCATTAACAAGATTACTTGACTAATACATAATAAGCACAATATACTAATAGTTAAAACCGACCAGAAAAATATAAAACGTACCTATAAGCATCAAGAAATTTCAATTGACCAATAGAAGTGCTTAAAATATCAAATAAGTATAATATTAAAAGTGTAATACATTCATCATTGCAATAGTAAAGAGTGCCGATTGAGCAACAATTTTTGTTGATACTTTTGTAAAGAACATTTACAATATTTAACAATTGATCAATATTAATCCTAAATTTAATTTGAAAACAAAAGATATTTTACATATAAACTTACAAACTAAGCAAGTATATTTGGATGTGCTTCTTCTTCTGGTCGGACCTAATGTTAATAATTGCAAATAAAATAACATATTACAAATATCCAACTAATTATGGCGTGTGATGTCTAGAGTATAAATTAAAGTTAATAATTGAAAATAGCACTTTTATTCGTAAAACTAATATATTGGTGATTGATTACATCTACCAAAGATATTTCTCTCTGAAGTCGTGTAGTAATGATTAGGCCTTGTTGGCTTAGTTTCTTTAAAAAGACAATAAAAAAAATGTAAAATGTTAACATTTCCATTTTGAGACTAGCATTTATTTTTAGATACCTCATGCTTAATTATGGATCGTGTAGAATTTTAAGATCCACACAAAAATAGGTAATGATGACATTCTAAAATTAAAAGCCATACCAATATTTCCAAGCCTTCAATACTAATGCATAAAAAATAATTAGACCTTGTAATGCACTTTGAATTAGGTAAATATAATAAAAAAACTACACTTAAAGTAAAGTAAAACCGTCACTAAATGGCTGACAAAAAAAGCTGAGCTTTTTTACTAGCCATAATTAAAATTTATCATAACATTGTTATATTAATTAGACCCTATATCAACCCGCTTGATGTGACGAATTACGCATTAATTAGCAGATCACCCGGCACAAATATTAAGGAAAATCTATGAATATTGACTGAAATATTAAATAAACTTAATAGTACATTAGTGAACACACATTCAGCGTAGTCTAGATTCTAGGGTTTCTAATTGTACACTTCCACAAGTCAAGCGTCAATTCAAACTATTCAATAAGTGCACTATCGGATTATCAAAATTCTTAGGATTAAAGTGAATATAAAAGGACACGCCTCTAGTATCTACTTAAGCGTATTTTTACGGAATGGTACCACCATATTTTGTTTGAAAATAACTTCAAATATGAATATGAATTTATCTCAAAAAAAAAAATGGTACTTAGGTACTTTAATTATATTGGCAGTTTCAGATTTGTGCCTATCTTCATACCAATCTTTTGTAGATTTTTTTATCTAAGTTTTATCTAGAGGCGTGTCCCCGCTAACTTCATTACTTTGAGTTTATATTTAATATTTAAGCAATATTTGCGAAAAATCCGAATTATTCAATATTTCCATATGATTCACTATGTGAACCTACATTGTACTTTGAGTATTTCTTTAGAATCGCTGTCATTTATTGTATTTAGAATAGTACAATTTACAACCATTTTCATATTTGATCAGAAATTAATTAAACTGTTTTCGGGGTGTGTACAAAAATCTACCAAAAGTAAGTAGTTAAGTTCATATTTTTATTATGTTGGTATAATTTATAAATAAATATACACATAAATAATCCAATTAAGTATTTGAACGATAGGTAGTTAGATGGTGCATATATAAAATTCAAGGAATATGTTCCAGAAGAAACAGTTCATTATTACAACATTTTGTGAAATAAAACTTGCCATTAATTTCTGATCTAGTCCTCAAGCAAGCTATCATTAAATAGGATTACATTGACAGTATAATAGGCAAAGTTCAAAAGTTGGAATGTAAAAACTTGAGAGAATCGCAAAAATAATCGTCTTACATACGAAAATACGCTTAAACGTTACATAGTAAAGTTTAAATTTAAATGCACAAAATTCTAGCATTTACTCAAATAGAGAAAGATTAAAACTATGACTAGAGAGAGTTTAAAAAAGCTTACAAAATTGTAGTAGGATTGTTTATATAATAATATCTTGATTTAAAATTGCCCGGTCCATTAGTTTAATAGAGGAACAGTTTGGCTTCACTCATTGGTAAATTAATATGGATACATTTGCAGAACAAGAACCGGGCACAAATCTAAATAGGTTTAAGAACAATAATAATTATAATTAAACGATTAAACTAGTGAATAATCACTTTTTATAATTAAAAGTATTTTTACCATGATTATCACACATGCATAGACTAAGAATTGATTAAATAATTGCTCGAAAATTAATATTTACTAGTACAAATAGTTGTTCCTTAGGCTGGGGCCAGATAAGTACTTTACAGACTGGGCATATGTTGGATTGTGTTTTCATGGTTATTTTCGACCTGCCATGCCTAACCACAGACCATATTAACATTGTTCTAAATTACATCCCAGTAATTCGAACAAAACAGTTTAAATTTAGAATGTTGGAACATTCACATAACCGTTTTCAGTAAATTATTCATCGAACTTAAAAATTGGTATTTTTGGTATCATCAAAACATTTTTTTGAGAGAATTGAATTAATCATTTTTCCCGTTGTTAGTAATCGATGAGAAGACACCGAAAATACACGATTTCATATCAGTTGTCAGATCAGTTCTTGAGTCCGAGAATTTCATAAGACATTCGTGAACTTTAGCGTCTTTATAATCCAAAGCAAGTTTGTTACTCTTCGACGTTATGTCTAAGAAGGCGAGTAAATTTTCGGCTACCTCTACAGGCATTTTTGCACAATTCGTGTCTATAAGTATTGTGACGTGCTTACCGATTTCAGACTTTATTAGCTGTTCAACAAAGCTCTTTTCGTAGTCGAATTCTGTTTGGCTGTCAGGTGAGAGTTTCTTGAGTGATTCTATTGCGAGGAGTGTGAGGGCGAGTATAGCCTCGTTCTGCATCAGGGAGTGGGATGCCACGAGCATGTTTACTAGACTTGATATACAGCCATCCACCTGTAATTGGAAGTCGCTCATTTAGAATTGCATAAAACGATCGTGAGTATTATTTATTTAGGGAAAAAATTACAATGAAAGTATACATCTAGACATATTTTTCATTTATTTATTTTATAATTTAAAAGGTAGATAAACAAACTACAGATTAATTATTATATTATTTTTATCATGTTAAGAATACATATTCCATTAACCTGAGGTCTTATTAACTGTGCACAGTATTAATAGTCAAACAGCTTAAATTGTAAAGACAAAATAAACCGGAATAAGTGAAAATGTCTTAATCAATTGTAATCGAAGCATTTAAAATAACGGTAGGGTATACTTTAAGTAGACGGTTATGAAGATGATAGCTTCCGCTAGCGGCTTCGCCCTCGTGGTATGTTGATAAAAAGCCTATGTCCTATTCCGGAGTACATCCTATGCCTGTGCCAAATTTCATAAAAATCTGTATAGCCGTTTTGGCGTGATTGAGTAACAAACATCTAAATATTGTAATTTTCGCATTTATAATATTAGTGAGCAGTAAGATAGTAAGTGTGGGAGAGACATGCTTCGGCACGAATGGGTCGGCTCGACCGGAGTGATACCAGCGCCTTACAGAAAACCGGCGAGAAACAACATTGTGTTTCGCCCCAAAAGGTCGGAAACGCAGTCGTAACTCCTCCATTGCGGGTCCATGGGCGGCGCTGATTGCTTACCACCATTCCCAATCCATTTGCTCGTTTGCCGACCTATTACATAAAAAAATAGTACCTCAACGATGTGCCTCCAGTGCGAGTGATGTCGCAGTTGTTTGACGGCCCAGGCCAGCAGTCGCGGCGCCTCCCCCGCGGCGCCGGCGTACTCGGCCGCGTGCCCCCACCGCGCCACCGTCGCCAGCGCCACCGGGTCACTCGCCAACAACTTCGCCACACCCTCTATGGACACAACACATATGAGATGTTATGTGTAGTTAGTTTACTATAAGGAGCATTGTAAACCAAAAATAATTTTATAAACTGTTACTAATTACACTTAATAAAAGATAGCTTGATCTTTGGGACAGCTGTCAGTAAAATCGCGGCTATGAAGTTCTGAATTTAACAGTATGGAGAAACGTACCTGTCAATGGCATACTTTATGGGCATGCTGATCTAATTAGTGATGAGTGATGAATCATCGTGACCACAGACTATAAACTATTGATATTTTTTCATAATTCAAAATTATTTTATCATTTCACTTTATTATTTACAATAGCGCGTAAATAAAATTTAAATACTAACCTACTCATGTAAAATTACTTTCGACAACTTTGGGTTTCGGGAGAATTTTGGCCGCGGCGTGCCTTCTCCCGCAAGATGGCAATGCGTCGCCATCTTTTTTTCGTATGACACATTCTCCTCAGTACGAGTGCTACCGCCTTGTATACGTCACGTGTTTTCCGTTCCCATTACTTTATTTTTGTTACTATCGCTGTTAATTTGTGGAGTTTAGTTATTATTGTTTGTTTCTTTATTGTTAGTTTTTATTGTTTTTTTTTTGTTTGTTGGCATAATGCCAAAGAGAACGAAGAAAACTGTTGATTCGCTTACGTGAATATTTTGAGCGAGAAAACCAAAATGGTGACCCGCTATTACCCATGGCGAGAGTTTGTGACAGAGTTGTAGATGCTCTTGGCATTGGACGTGCGACAGTAATTCGCAAGAAAAATATGGTGAGTCCTCAACCGCAGTATTGACTGAAGACAAAGATAAAAAACTTTTGACGCCAAATAAAAAAAGGAAAAAGGCCGCTCCTGTCACAAATATTGACGATTTTGACGCCGCTGCTATTCGTAACCATATATGGTTATTATACACGGGGTGAATTGCCGACATTAAAAAAAACTGGTCGTGTCCCTAAAAGACGCAGACTTGTTCAAAAGAAGCTTGCCGTCTCTATCGAAGATTTTGAAAAATATTGGGAATTTCATACAAAAAATGTGACAAAAGAAAAATTATAATGGAACGAACCGAAATTGCTCTTGCTAGAGTGAATTTTCTCCGGAAAGTAAAAAAAAAAATAAAAACTGGGACAAAGTTGTCTTTCTAGACAACACATGGCTAAACGCCAATCATACCGAATCCAAAGCTTGGACCGATGATACGGCACAATCGACTACCAAAGTACCCGAAGGCAAAGGTCAAAGATTAATAATAACTCATGCTGGGACGTCATCTGGTTTTGTGCCTAACTGCCTTTTGACATTCAAATCCACTAAGACCACTGAAAACCACGAGGAAATGAATTTTGAAAAATTTAAAGACTGATTTTTGAAATTAATGGATAATTTGGAGGGGCCACATTATATAATTATGGATAACGCCCCATATCACTCGGTCCAAAAGCACAAACCACCAACTTCGGCAAATAGAATGTTAGAAATAATTGCATGGCTTCAAGAAAAAGGAATTGAGGCTAATGAAACTCTGCTTAAAAATGAATTGTTAAGACTCGTTGGTTTGCACAAACCCAGCACTCCAACATATGTATTAGATGGCATAGCCACCGAA